CCGGCAAATCCCTAAAAAGTGGTTTATATACTCTACATCTGGCCTCTTTGATCAAGTATAAAGTGATTTGGTTAGTTGCGGTCATATGTCGAGTATATGCTTGATCAAAGAGGTCAGATGTAGAGTTTATGTACCACTTTTAAGGGATTTTCCGGTGAGTTTTCTTGACTCGTTAGCTTCAATTTTGTTCTGACGATGTTACCTCGCTCTGATGATGTCCGTCATATGACAGACTAAAGCTTAGCACGTTTTCACTGGAGTCGAAGGAGATTGCCTCGGAAACAGCGTCGGAATGAATCTTCCAGTAAAGCCAATCGACAGCTGATCAAGAAGAATTCGCTGTCGTCTTCTGGTGGAACCGACCTTCGAATCTCTTCACCCAGAGCTTTTAGCCAACTTTAGTACAAAATAAGCGAGAATTAATTGGTTACTTTCGTTATCTTTCAACTTTCACATTAAGTTTGCCTCTGTTGTATTTACTATATTCTTTATTTATAATTTTTATCTCTAATTCTTGTTGCCTTTGTGTAAAATGAGAACATTCAGTTTTAATTAAAAGCGTGCTTTGCCTATGCTTAGAAAGCAAGTATTTTTAGTGAGCGCTCACATTATAAACTTTGTACGGTTTGAGAATATTCCATTTTCGTGCACGCCCACTTTTTAGCTTCAACCCTTTTTCTTCTTAGGAGAAATCAATGACGGCTTTCGTCCTGTATCTTCTTCAAGTGATATCTCCGATGACCTGCCCCCTTTCTTCAAGCACATTTCGCCCTCCGTCCAAACTGCACCCGACGGCCCCGGTGCCGAAGAGCATTTTGGGCGTACTGATATGCCTTTCAGACCTTCCGCTTCCATGTCAGGCAGTCCATTTCGCCTCGTGAGAACCGGCATTGACACTGGTCTTGATAACGGCAGCGGCCACTTTGACAACGACTCAGGCGGTACAGCATGGCGGCCTTTGGTGGCCAAGTCCAGTGGAAAGGATGATGAAGAATGGTTGGGAGGTTCCAACATTCCGGACCTCCAGCCAGTGTTGCGAGATATGACGGCACTTGCCAACATAGATTGCTCGAGTACACGCAAGGTACTCTCTTGAATCGTGTATTCATTAACTTTCTATCATATTTTATGCTTTTTTCCTATTTATCCGTTTATTTATTCACCATTTGATTTTTTGCTATTTATTACCTACTCTTTGCTTATCAACTTTATCTGTCAATCATTTGGTGGTAACTAAATGATTTTTCTTTAGAGAAACCGTGGAATTTAGGTGTCTTATATTCTAAAATCTAAATTGTCGGAATACTACCCCAAATCAAACTGGGTGAAACTTTGTTCCTCTTCCCTTCTTGACTCTGGCCGCCTCTAATCGCTTAAAGCTGCTAGTTGGAGTCACAACTAGATTTACTTAATTATTTACCATATTATTAGAAGCTTGCTTTTCTTGCAATAAATCTGAAAAAATAATTAAGCAGAACTAATTGACTTGTGATGCACTTCTGTGCTTCTGATATGCCAAAGGCAATCGTTTTATTTAGGTATATCTGCCTAGGGCGATGTACCTATTGAGGATTGGCATTGACATATCAACTAGATCATACAGAAGTTGAATATTCACTCAGGTTGGATGTATGGATACCCCACTGAAGAAAATGCTGTCCGATGACCACCATTAGGTCCTTATCAATGATCTGCTTAGCAATATTATTTATATTTTGGTTTCTTTTTCTGTCAGTTATTCATGCGAAAGTCGACTCGCTGCCATGATCGTAGCGATGATGTTTTGTCGTTTGGGTTCTCAACACTAGTCTGGATCGATCGCATGTCAAAAACCTGGTTTAGGGCCGAAAAAGTGGTTTAGACACAATCTCAGCTCTTATAGACTAATGAAGGTCCCTGCACGAGTATTTAGGAGGGTCTCTTGATTTTATTTTAGAGGTATTATTTCGAAGCCTACTCACATCGAAATTAAGTAGCGTCATCGATTGTATTGACAAATGCATGTTTGTCTCGTCGACAATATAACAACAGTGCTACAGTCACATCTGCCCTGCGATGCTTTGATGCCCGTGAGTGCACAGCTGAGTGGTGGCATGTCGCCATGATGCCCACGATCCAGTTTGAATTTCGTTTGCTGTTGCTGACTAGACTTAGATGAGATACCCAGAAATGGTTTGATCTTGCTCTCGCAACTCGATTGTGTTGTCAGGGCGTCCTCGATGAACAGACTTTTTCCGGACTCCTGAATAATATTCATGATATTTTCCAGCGTCGGACAATGAACTTGGCAAATTTCAAGACTGGATGAGAAATGGCCAGGTTACATAAAAATGACAACTTCGATACTGCTGAAGGCTCTGAGAATATGCCGAGTCCACGGTCGGGCGCTAGAAATTATCATGACCCAGCTGAGAGAAGATGTCTTGGCGACACAATCAAGTTGCGAAAACGATGTCGGGCCTCTTCTCTACAGCAAAACGAAGCTTCGACTAAAATAGTGGCCGATCCATCTTGGTATTTCATAATTTCGATTAAGCTGCCTAGGCTGTTCTGCAATTTATCTTAGCTATGGTCTATAACCACGGTACTAGAATGTTGTTTCAGATTATGTCTCATCAATCTTTATTTAAAGCTCTTACTATTAGAGCATATTTCGAACTTGGGAAGGTCTGTCATTAGGGCTATTTATCGGTTCACTAATGAAACGAGTCTGCAATTATGAAATGCTTTGAAGTAGTGCATTGCGCAGCCACTCTGCTTGGACATTGGGGAAGATGTTTTCCCCTTATAGTATTTAGTTCTTCTTTTGCTAAGGCAGACACAAGGCGATTGCGACATGAATTTCCATTTCGAAGGAAAAGTTGGTTGGAAGGAATTCTTTCTGTCGTCTCACCGGAAACCGAAAGAAGATTGCTGCGTATGCAAAACTGTTGAATTGTGTGAAAAAGTCCTCAGTTCACTGTCCTGCGATCCCGATGAAATTTTACTAAGCCTTCGTCTGTATTGTGACAGACATCTTCAGAGCTGGTGTCCATACTTCGCGAAAATATTCTAAACCAAGAGAACAGATGGCCGGCTGTAACCTTAGTCCTAACTTCGCGATCTCAATGAGGCATCCCATGATTTCAACAAGCAACTGTATAAAGTTGTAAGAGTTCCTTATCGAAAGCTTTCAAGCTTTGGAAAATTGCTTTAACTGAATACAAACAAATCATGATGTTTTAGGCATTACACTATCTCTATCATTTACAATAATCCTATGTGAGATGCCCTGATTATGAATTTTGGGCAGACCGTAGACGTTTGGGGGTCTAGCATCTCGCTGGAGAATAGCGTTCATTTTCCACTTTTACAGTTCTCCACTGTTTACACATTGTTGCAGAAAACCTCTAAGTCTGACCTTAAGGCCTTCTGTCGGGTCTCTAATTATAGTTTTATATGTTGTATCATCGTCTATCGCCTATAACATTTTTTTCTACATAATCAATCCTAGCCATGACTACTGCTGATCTTCCTTTGTCCGTCCTTAGTATTAATAGTTTTTCTTCATAGACTCTTTGTTCTCTTTCCTAAGCCAAATATGGATCTTAGATTTCACAATGATATTACATTTCACTTAATATTGCGTCCCACAATGCTTTCGTGCCTAAGCTGGACTGAAATTGTGACCTTGCCCTCGTCCCATCAATTTCCATTACTTAAGGCTACCGAAAGTTACCTTATTTCTTATCAAAGCTCTAATGGTAGCTTTGAGGCCTGTTCATTTTATTTCTATATGGCTTCGGTGAAGGTTACTGAGGGTCTATAATTTTAACAGAAATCTTCTATTTGCTGATAGGACTTCATCTAACATGCTAACTGGTCTCCAGGATCCTAGTGATTTTATCGAAGAACTATTTACCATGAGCATATATCAATGTTCGCAATCTATCATCGTATCACACTTTTTCATCTAGATCTTAGTTATCTACATAATCACAGGAGATTGACGTTAACTTTTTATTTTTGGTAATCGTTCTCACTTTTCGCATTTAAGTCTACTTTAGCTTAGTTCTGATTTTTTATTCTGTAAAGCAATCCACCAATGTTTTCC